TGCCCTTAAACTTAGGATTTAGGGTCTGGGATCATGGGTTGGATTATTGACCTAATTTCTAATTAGGGTCTCTTTACTTATGATTTAATGAGAGAATTTCGCAAGCCAACAACCCAAGTGTGATTTGATATCTTCAGTTTGAGGTGAGTTTCATTCATTTTATCCATGGGTCAAAGGCACCAATATCGGCCCACTAGATTATATTTGTAGTATGATGATTGTCTTCGTGACAATTACCTGTTATGCTTGTATCTACTTTATGTCACTGCGACTCTTATTGTACTGATTATATGTGTTAGTGGTGGGGTGAAATAGACCCAATACCGGTTGATAGATATTGAAGGTGGTGAAATAGAATCTGTATCGGTTGAAAGATACCGAAGGGGGTGAAATAGACCCAGTATCGGTTGAAAGATACCGAAGGGATGAAATAGACCTAGTACAGGTTGAAAGATACCGAAGGGGGTTAAAAAGACGCAATATGTTTTGATTGTTATATATGTATGATTTCTATAAGCTAACATATTTCTTTTGTTTATCGTCTATAGCTGAAGTATAATAACAAATTCGCGAGGTGGTGGACTGCTTTTATATATCTACCCAAATAATTTTTTACACGTCGTTAGCTATATATTGAAGTTTCCTATGTAAACAGGGTCGGTTTCACTATGGTGCTCGTAGTAGCTCTAACAATGCCTGGTTTTTGTGGACACAGTGCAAAAAGTTACAAAAATTTTCAAATATATTTTTTCTACTATCGTGACACTACTAAAATTTCTCGTGACACCTTTATTATGAAAGCATGTGTCTGCCCCTATATAAAAAGAATATATATATATATATATATATATATATATATATATATATATATATATATATATATATTCATTCTAAATGTTTATAAAGATATAGTTAACAGACTAAAAAAATATTTTTCACAAAAAATATTATTTAACCATATAATTCTATCCTATACAACACATGGTATATTGTCTGATTTATAGATATTGCGTGAGACTAGTATGAACACAAACAAGATTTTCTATCAACATTTGGCACCAATAGCAATAAACAATGACATTGGCAAGGTTGGTGGGACAGTTTTTAGATACAAGCAAGTTAAGAGTTACATACGTAGGTATATCCAAGATTCTAAGTAACGAAAAAAGTGACATGGCGGTAATATCAAGTCTCAACCTTTTTTGAGTCGCAGCGAGCTACGTCGTTTGTAAGGCGTGACTTAATATGGATACGTAGGTATATGCAAGCAAGTTAAGGCGTGACTTAATACGTCGTTTGGTGGGACAATTTTTAGATACAAGCAAGTTAAGAGTTAGATACGTAGGTATATCCAAGATTCTAAGTAACGAAAAAAGTGACGTGGCGGTAATGTCAAGTCTCAACCTTTTTTGAGTCGCAGCGAGCTATGTCGTTTGTAAGGCGTGACTTTATATGGAAATTATGTATTTTATATATATATATATTATATATATATATATATATATATATATATATATATATATATATATATATATACTATTATTCATTTGTATTGACATATTGACTTAAGACGACATTTTGTTAAAGCTTGGCAGCAACTACAAGGCGCACCATGACGCATCATGCGATGTTTTTTTTGAACCTTGTATATATATAGTTATCCAATACACAAAACCTTTTGTGTACAAGAATTAGTAATGAACCTTTGAAAAAGCTCTCTCTCTCTCTCTCTCTCTCTCTCTCTCTCTCTCTCTCTCTCTCTCTCTCTCTCTTAATATACCGGGTATTGAGAAATGAAGATATATTGCACAACTCAATTTGAACACAAAGTTAGCCACTAATTACCTTAGTGATTTTGATTCAGCTGTGCCAATATCTCTCCTTTAGTACATATTCTTGGTAGCTTGGCATGTAACACTACAAGAACTAATCCATATGGCAATGACAAATTTTGACCCTATGGAGGGGTCACGTCGTCGACACACCTAATACCGATGACACGTCGCCTGCTTAGTGTCATTGGCACAACTTTGTGTGTCAATAGGTTAAAATTGGCATTGGGATAGGTTTCGTCGGGACAGGTTACCCCTATGTATACAATATCTCATCTCCACAAGTATTGCCCGGCATTATTTTCGAAAAAATTAATAATTACTTGTACAGACGATATGTCGTCGGGATAGGTCCAGTTTAGTCTATCCCGACAACATGTTGTCGGGAAATGTAGGCTCTATAGCGATGACTTGTCGCTGGGAAAGGTTTCCAACGATTTTCTAACAAAGAGGTATACCGACGACATGTCGTCAGCAAAGCCACTGTATTCTTTTTTTTTTTTTTTTTTTTTTTTTTTACACATTTTGAGTTATTTACCCATCCAATTTATTTAAAAAAATCAAAACATTTATATATATCAATAACATACAAACATTCAATACAGATTACCAACACATATCCATAACATACAAACATTAAATACATATTACCAACACATTGTTCAAATTTAAGTCTAATATTCCATACAAAAATGAGATATAATAACTACCATTAATGTTCAAAAAACCAACCATCATCATCGTATTCTTCTCCTCCTCCTCCTCCTCCTCCTCGTTTTGTTGAGAGGTATTTCCTTTGGAAGTACTTCCTTGTGTGTAATTGGGATTGAAAAAAAAGTTAGGAATTTGTGGTGGTTGGAAGTCAGGAATACATGTCGCCAACGATTCATTATGCTGTTACAAGTATTGTTTCATTTGTTGGTTATATGCATCAAATTGGGATTAAGATTAGGGTTGAGATTGGGAAGATTTGGAAGGTCGTTGCTTTGGAATAAGCCCTATTTTGGCGGTTGGTTTCATTCCCACTACACGAGTATGTCTGTGTCTCGTTCCGAGGGCACGACAAAGACATTCTTTTTCATCTACAATTCCACCCTCCCCGACCTATATATGTTTTTCTCATACTCTGCTTGAATTTTCTCCTAAAATAAAGAAAACAATAAACATAAAATAATTAAAACAAACAACTAAATTTAAACACTATATAATAATAATAATAATAATAATAATAATAATAATAATAATAATAATATGCCTTGAACAAAAAAAAAAACAAAAAACAAAAAAACTATAGTTAGTAGTAATAACATATTTAAACAATGTATTATTTTTTTTTATCATTTACCCAATCTTGTTGTGCTTGAATTGAACGCTAACTGGAGCTTTCGTTGAAACGCATTTGTGTCTGAGCCTCAATACGACACGACTGCAGTCTTTGTTGTACCTATAATAAGCCAAAAACAATAAGTATATTTATGTAAGTGTTCATAAAAAAAATTATGTAATACAAATATATTTTATTACTTCTAACCAGTGTCATTTGAGCATATGATCTACAACCATGAGCGCTTGTATACAGAAGTTTCACCCAAGTACTTTTAAATTTAAAGTATGAAACTTTCAAAAAATTTCTTATTAAGACATGTTCTTTGAAAAATATACCAAATGATAGCATTTTATTTCCAAAAATGCAATGCTCTAAAATCAATAAAAGTATGTTGTTATGTTTAGATAGATTTCTAAATATTCAATGCTTTAATATGATCAAATATAAAAGTAGAGTGCTATAATCAATAAATCAATGCTCAATTTCATTTTCATGCCATTAATTCAATAAACTACAGTGAGCATAAACATAAATCAATTATACAATTGGTTGGATAAATACATTTTCAACCAAAATAGGAAGAGAGAGAGAGAGAGAGAGAGAGAGAGAGAGAGAGAGATCAAAAACTTACCTTAAAATCGATGGTGTAGGCAGCTGAATCACCGTAAATAGTTGTGGCTGTCGGTGGTGAAGGCTGGGAAGGGAGTGGCCGATGATGGTGAAGGCTGTGAAGTCTCCAACCGGAAAAAAAAAAACCCAAAATCAGAGTAAAAACTTTGGCAATCACAAACTAAGAAGAAAACAAGGATAAGAAGCATACCTCCTAGTCACTGGTGAAGAGAGTGACTGGGGAGAGGTGTGATCGTCGACAGAGCAAGAGAGAATCTACAAAATGAAAGCAATCGTTGCTTTGTTAGGGCCAAACCCTATGCCGACGACATCGGTACAGGGTAAGTAAAACTACGTCCTTTCGTGTTTTCGTAAATAAAAAAAAAATTTAAAAGAAAGGTTGTGCCAACGACATGCCGTCGGGATAGATATTTCACGCGGATTGCCACATCTTATGCCGATAACAAGTCGTCGGGATAGCCTTAGGAAAACGATATTGTTTTTACTTTCTGCGACATGGAATATAAAATAAATCAAAATTATTTTTTTTAATAACCTACGACATCTCGTCTGCATAGTTTTTCAAAAAACTGCGAAACTTTTTTTCATTCCTACTAAATCTACGGTGTCAACGTGTCATCAGTTTACCTTTTCTTTTAACTTTTCTAGTCAAACAAATATGGTGAGAGTTGTAAAATGTTATGACGACGACATGTCGTCAACATAGCTCTACTTGTAGCGACGAGTTGTCGTCGGCATAGGTCTTGTCAGCGTAGGGTTAAATTGTTGTAGTGTAAATTTGTATTGCAGGTTAATATAGACAGCCAACTTTTGTTCAAAACGCATTGTTAATCGAGCAAGGTATATGCATATGGTTAATACATATGTTCTAGATTTTACTGGATATACAACTCTTTTTGGAATTTCTTGCACCTCCACGGATCGATCCACGAGAGATTTAAGACTGATTTAAGACCGTAAACTTCTTCATCTGCGTACACGTAATATTTTGTTGTCAGTAAAGCTTAAAATATAACAATCATCGCTCGTATTAAACCAACAAAACATGTAGCGTACACGTGAATTAATACCAATGCTCTTTTTTTTTCAAAGAAAGAATTAGAACTCAAAAAGAAAACCGCACACAAATAATTTTGAATGAACCCATAATAATCACACGAGCTGAACAACAGCTCTAATCATATCCTTCTGTAATTAGAATCTTTGAAACTCTAGAACTTCGCTTGTAGCTGATCCACCACACTCTTATCCACTTGAAACGCCTTAGCAAGAATATCCGCTGGAATTGCAGGATTTGCACCGAAAACAGCATTCCCAATTGTTATGGCACCTGGGTTTTGACTGCTTAATGCAGCAATAACCACAGCATATCCATTACCCACATTGCGTTGGAAATGAACAAGCCCCACTGGGAACACGAAAACATCACCCTTTTGAAGCACCTTTGTGATAAATCTGTTATCGGGATTAGATGTTACAAATCCAACTTGTAGTGTCCCTTCAAGAACAGTAAGAATCTCGGTGGCTCTTGGGTGAGTGTGAGGAGCATTAAGTCCCCATGGTGCGTAGTCAATCCGAACCATTGAGATGCCCAAAGTGTTTAGTCCTGGTAACTGAGCAGCAAACACTGGGTCACCTTTGATCCCAATTGGTTCGATGTGTTACCCCTGAGGTGTAGCCCACTGAAGAAGAAATCCTCTGCTTGAACTTGCATCGGGTTCTTACATGTCACACCATTTACTTTCACTGCATGTTATATAAAGCCAATATTTTGTTACGAGAAAATATTAAGTAAAAGAGAATAGGAGATTTGTAACTACAAGTAACGTCTTAAAGTACCTGACGAATTGGGATCGGCTACACAAAAATCTTGGAGGGAGCTAGGCTCATAGGCTAACGCAAGGTAGCTAAAAGTTAGAGCTAATACACTCAACAAAACGAGTTTGCTCGACATTTCTTTTAATATTCTCAGCGGGAACTACAGAAAGTTATGAAATCAAAAGCTAAATCTCTTTTAGGGATAGAAGATATATGTTTTTTTTTTTTGTGGTGAGACAAACAGCTGCTTAGTGACTCCATATATATAGACCTAATCTGCATGATTCTTCTATATATCGTTTTGCATTTATTTTAGCAAAATTTATCTTTGAAGGATTTGCCGCCTTACACATTGTAAATGAATAATAGGCACTGGAGAATGACGTTTATCTATCATGTACTATACGGAGTAGTCCGGAAAAGGAATTGGTCAGCCGGCTTCCCAACACCTGACTATCTTTAATTTTTAGTACTAATTAAGAATTGGTCAATCTCAACCTGTTATCTTAAGCCTACCATGTACCTCTTAAGTGCTAACTTTGTTAAACTAATCACACACGACATGAAAGCGATTACCAGTTTGTAGTGAGGTGATGGGATAGTTTCGGTCGGGCTAAGCCTACAAGACAAATGCCCTTTAGCTACGCAGCTAGAACATGTTGTAGGTAAAATTCACCATCGCTAAAACAATGATTAATATATACAGACAAAACTGTACAAATGATCCCTTTGGTTTTCTTAAAATTGTTACTTTGGTTTAAAAAAGTTTTAACTAGAATCATAGGTCTAAAGTTTTTATTTTATTGTGAGTTTGGTCTAGTTTTCTATAACCTTTTCATATTGACTATTTTGCCCTTGTATTTTTCTTTTTCAGTTTTTTTTATTATTTAAATATTTATTTTGATAAAAAGAAAAAATAAAAAAGAAAATTTTCATTTTCTATTTTATTTTATAATTTTTTATAACATAATAAAAAAATAAAAATGAAATCTCTCTCTCTCTCTCTCCCCAACACCACACACTACTCTTATACCTCCCTCATTGGATCGAAAACCACTCCACCAACATACCTCAAACCTTCTTCACTCCTTCCATCATTTTTCTCGTCCATTTTCTTCCAAGAAACACAAAGGAAAACGTGGCAGCCACCACTCGTCACCACACTGCCACCTTCTACCATCGTGTACCACCATTTCACAACCCATTATCCCTCCTTCTTCCGGTGATGCAACAACCCCCAAGCAACCCTCCAACCTACTGCCTTACCACTTCCCTCTTCCCCTCCGACAATCACTGCAGACATAAGCAAAAAGGAAGCAGCCGATAGGTTATCGGGCAGCCTTCTGCTCAAGGTCACCACCATCGACCACCTCTGTTATGTTTTTGTTATGTTGTTGCTGATACTACGTAAATGTGACAATAAGAGGTTGAAGCCGCCAACAATATTAGGTTTAGGAGGAGAGGTACGCTATTCATGTTATCTAAATTTCGAGTTGTAGGTATGCTATCATTGTTGCTCCAATTGAGGGTTTTCAAGCCCTAATCACACCTAAATCAAAATTGTTAGGGCAAGCTTCAATATCTGGTAAAATCACACCGCAAAGAGAGGGTAATTCAAACCCTAGAATGTAGAATGCTTTAATGCAGAAAGATGGAGGGCCCATTGCTTTTATCTGTTCGTTGAACATAGTCCTAAACCCTGAAGATTCTTGTAGTTGCGGGTGGTGGCTGTTCTTGGTGGGTTTATATGTTGAAATCAACGAGAGGGAATAAAAAATCTCACTTGTAACTAGATGGATGAAGCAGGAAATGATGAGGGAGTTGTTTGGGAATCGAAACATGAGGCAAAGCGGAAGATGCTCGACTACCTTTCTTCTCCGGTGAATAAAGAATCATAGCCGCTTGTGATCGGGACTGTTTCAGCAGAGATCGACCTGATTAGAGGGTGTTTGGGTTCGCTAGTTGACACACGAGTGGAGAGGCTGGATAGCTTGATCGGAGGCAACAACCTCCGGTCTCTGTTTTGGGTTTTTCGACGAGTGTAAGAAAAGCTAGAGAGAGAGAGAGAGAGAGAGAGATAGAGAGATTCTTTGTACAGTTTAGTCATATATAAAACATACTTTTTCATCAAAATAGAAAATCATTTTTTTTCTTTTTGTTGTTGCAAATCCATTGTAACTACTACTAGAAAACTGGCAAATTTCCGATGGCCATATCCGTCAGAAACTCGTCGCTAAAGTTTCCGACTGGGCGTTTTCCGACGGCCATATCCGTCAGAAATCCGTCACTAAAGCCGATTTCTGACAAAATACCAAAGGAATTAGGTATGTCGTAAAAAGTCGTGCGGGTAAATATTACTATCTAAATTGTGACAAACTACCAACAGATAGCGACGTCCGTTTGTTGAACTTGTATGACCAAGTTAACGACGAAATAATACTAGACTACTTACGGACAAGTAATGTGACTGATTACCGACGGACACTATTTTACAACATATTACCGACCGGCTTTAGTGACGGATATTTGTCACTAATCCATCACTAAAAATTATTTTTATTATTTAAAAAAATAGACATTTAAAAAGAAACGCATAATTTTTTCTGCCCAAAATGAAAAAGAAAAAAAAAAATCCAATACATCTATAATAATAAGAATCCAATAAATAAATTTATAATGATTCAAACTTCCGAACAAAAAATTGTTACATTTACTTATCGATACAAATAAAAACTTTGTAAAAACCCTAAAACTTAAGAACCTTATCCTTCTCGAGGTTCTCTTTGATACTAATTTTTTGAGCAATGTATTCAGGTTTCATCATCTTTCATTGCATAACGAGATGATTTTTATATGTCATTATGAACTGAAGATCCAGATCGTGCTTCTCGCTTGTCTTCACCGTAAGTGCACCCACACCGACTCACAATCAAATGACAAAAAGAAAACCTACAAATTCTAACATAATACAAGAATTGTAAAGAGGAAAGTTCAAGTGATAATCTCAAAGAACTCAACCTTTTCAAAATAAATAAATAGAAAAAGTATCTATACAAAGTACAATGTTTTAAAAGGAAGAAATGAAAGCAAGATGGTGTCATAAACAAATAAATGAAAGTATATTGCTATTTCTTGCATTTAACCATCTTGAAATTATTAAAGAAAATTGCATGGTGCTCATGTTACAATTTCTCAAAAAAAAAAAAAAAAATACAATCATTGTAGGATTGCCTAAGAAAATATCATATTAAAAATCATCTAATTTGTTTTAGCAATAATGAAAAAGAAAGAAATTGAAGTATGAAGTTATAATGCACAAAAAATTCAAAGTACATTGTGGTTTCATGAATTTAGCCCTCTTTTTAATGTTAAGATAGTTAATACTAATTCTAGTCGTATGCGAGCTATTATGAAAACTCAACAGGTCCATTAGATAGAATAAAATTTATCAATTTAAAGATATTTTAAGAGGTAAAATATATCGATTGTAAAGTAGTTCATGGTAATTGCAGAAATCATAATATAATAGCATGACCTGAGGCTATTGAACTATAAATTAGTGAAAATCTAACTCATAGATGCATGATAGTTATACAAAAATTTATTTGATCTTACCTAAATGTAAACAGAATCCTCAGATTATCCTTCCCTTTCCAACCACTTAAGTAAATTTAGTTGCAAGATACCCAATCGGTTGTATGAGAAAACAATATATATTGTACCTGTACATGGGAACCCAAATTATTCCGTACATGGGAACCAAACTATTACATAAGCATAAACTATTGGATTAGTGTCTAGGTTCATAACTATTTTGGTATGTACTTGACCTGATGGTGCATGGTCCTTTTGGGTTGCCTTCACCAAAGCAACTTGATAGGATGAATTATGGAGAGAAAGGATTAAATATGATTTATTAATATATTATGAGAATAATATATTAAAGGAGAAATCGTATTGTTTAATTAATATTAGTCAATAATTAATTGGTAATTAGTTTTGTGATTAAATGAGATTAATTAAACTTAAGGGACTGGAATTGTAATTATAAGATAATTATAATTTGGGCCATGGATTGCCTTATATTAAGGGGTGGACGAATTATATGGGGGAAGCCCATATGAAATCGTCCAAGGCTTAAGGAAAGGGCTCCATGTGTTGCTTAGGGCTTAAGCATCCAAATTAGGGTTTCCTTGTTAGATAACCCTAATAGCCTTACTATATATAAGACCCTTATGACCCAAAAACGTGGCTAATGATCTTTCTAGGGTTTCACACGTTTTTGGGCAGCCTCCAACCTCTGTCCTCTTCATCCTCTTGCTTATGGTGTTTGTGAACCATTAGAGGAGTGACACTTGTGACTCTAAGCCTTCCAAAGTCAATTCAAGGAGATTTGGGATTGTTATTGCTACATAACAATCAAGGTATCATTATAAACTTATTCTTATGTCTAATATGATTATTTGAATGCTAGAATTAGGGTTTATAGTCTTGGATAACTTGCATGTACAATAAAGAAACCTAGATCCAAGCTTTAGGGTTTGTATGAGCACATAGGATGTTCTTAGGACCAAAACCCAACAGTGGTATCAGAGACTAGCTTGGTTTCAATTGTATTGATGCATTGTATAACTGAAAAAAATCATTTTTTGGTGTTTTGGAGGCTGGAATCGCCGAGTCCATAGCTGAACTCGCCGAGTCCATGCAGACTCAACGAGTCCAAGCCTGACTCGACGAGTCAGATCGTTAGAAGGAGGGAATCTCGGGTTTTCTTGCTGTTTTTGCATTAGGATAGTTATCTTATCATGTTAGATCAATATTAATCCGATTATATGATATATGTGACTATATTTTTGATCTAAATGAAGATATTTATCAATTAATAAGATAATTGTTTCCTTATAAGATAATTGATTAATTATTTTGAGTAAAATTGATAAATTGTTTTGCAAGAAATCCTTAAATAAATCAAATATGGATAATTATGTGATTAAATGTTAATTTAAAATTATTTGTTATTTGATCCTTGTTGTTATGAAAAGTTTCATATTTTACCCTTTAGGTTTTATAGTTTAAATTTGAATCCAGAAGTTTTGTTGTTTTGAAATTTAAATAGTTAAAACCCTAATGTTTTGAAAAAGGTTTCAAAACTTGCCCTCAAGTTTTGGAATTTAAATTTTGATTAAAAAGTTTAATTTTGATGTATATTTGAATTCTAAACCCTAATGTTTTGAAATGTTTCAAAACTTGCCCTCAAGTTTTGGAATTTAAAAGTTGATTAAAAGTTAATTAGGAATGTTAAATTCTAAAACCCTAGTAATGTTTTAAAAAGTTCAAATCACACTCTTATGGTTTTATTAATTAATTAAGGAGTATAATTAAAAGATGTTTAATAAATCCATAAAGTTTTGGTTTACAATTTAATTGAATTAAAAGTGTAATTGTTAAAGTTAACCACATAGTCTTCTAAAAGTATAAAATACACCCTGTACTATATATAACATTAAAAGTCTAACATTATATATATGTATGAGTAAAAGTCAGTCTTACCGTTAGTAGGCCTCATTCACGAAGCTGGTCTATAAGGGGTGTTTAAGGAAATTACCTATAATATGGCGATTGAATGGGTATCCACTCTTACCCACCGCACTCTTGACTAGTGGAGGGTCGTTAGCTGAACGGGTAGGATAGGACGAAACCTTCCATTATAAGTATAATGAAATACAAAAGTAACTAAATGTTTTTTACAAATTCCCAGTCTTAGTTACTTAGGCAAAGTGAATTGATGCAATTCCATGAAATTACACTTTGTGCCCTTGCGAAGACGTTAGTGGAGCGTGTGTGGTTTACCGGCACACTAAATGGTTCTAAGCAAAAGTAGCAAAGGGTGACTCAATGTTTGTCATAGTTTGGTGGAGCGTGTGTGGTTTACCGGCACATCGAATAAGTGACTGTAACATGTGAGGGCACCATGTAAGTTTGCATGGTTATTCACACCCGCTTTGTGATCCTCGACATCCCAGTCACAAACAAGAGAGGCATATCGAGATTTAAACATGCCATTGAAATGTTCAATGAATCTCAAAGGATCTAGGAGTTTTCATAGATTTAAAACTTAAATTTCTTTTTTGTTTTTCATGGTGGAAATTAGTGAATCGTCATTCACTTACCTTCAAATATTCTGCAGCTAGATTACGACATCCCTTTTTTTAGGTTGTAGCGTATTGTGTTGGATCCTAGTCTTAGTATCTCATTTGGGTGATTTACTAAGGACTCAATCGATCAACTAACTTGAATTTGTTTTCTCCCGTTTTGTAGATGTCAAAGTTCGACAACTATGGTCTTCCCAAATCCCGTGGAACA